TGGATAAGTTTTAGATATTATAGGGAGAAGTTACATGTTAATCACTTCTGGGAGTCAGAGGGTTAAATGTGTCCATCGGTTCAAATCTTCAAACTTCATCAAATCTCTAATTTGCAGCATTATTATCAACCTCACTTTTGAAATCTTGATCATCATCATTATTGAAACAGGTCTGTGTTTGTTTCACAATAGCATCTTGGTGTTTACAAAGCCCGTCATTGCATTTAAGCTGTTGTATTCTTCTGTGGTTAGAAAATCATACTAGCTTGCAGATGTTCATAAACAGAAATTTGGATTCAAAATGATCAAAATTCCTGCAAGGCTTCCCTTATGGAGGCTCACTCATGATCTAGCACATCACCTGCAGGAAGCTACCTGACCAATGAGATGAAAGGCCTCCTCTTGCATGCAGATGCAGCAAGTGTACAAAGTTTCATTAGCTACACAACATTGCCGAACTTTCAGATTAAATCTCTGTAGCTAAACTTATTCACTGCTGCAAGACTCAGTTGAGAGGCCACATTGAATAGAAATTTATAAAAGCACTCAACAGATTTAAAATTGTAAATTGCATGAGAGAAGTGTGGACCACTTAAGTAGCTCTACCCAGATGGTGAGGTTATGAAGGATCAGTGATCAATATGAGAGGGGGAGGAGGATGGAGTCAGAGATTAAAGCACAGACTGACCACCCTATGAGTCTGTGAGTACCTACTAACCATAAAAAAAATTAGGAAATTTTGGATTATCTAAATAAAATGTGGAATAAGGTGTCAGGTCACTTAAGTGTACCCCGTTTTGCCAAAAAATTCCTTCAGGATCTCAAAGTGTGGCTGTTTAAGAGCAGCTCATTACTATAACCCTTGTACATTTTCTCAGGATTTTTTATTTCATTTCTCATGCCATCAGATCTTTTCGTCAGAGGAAACCCCACAATCCTCATTGACTGATAATGTATAATTATAACTGCATCCGTGGTTTGTTGCCCTAGAAAATAAATCAGCATTACCATCCTCTAACACAGTCATGAAATGATTAGTTTGTAACTTTTGTTTGTCAATGAACCTCATTTTATTGACTTATACTGAATTTAAATACCATAGGGTGACTTTACAAATTATTTTGTTTATTATTTTACATTTTATCAGTTAATTGTAGGTCCACATCAGCCTCATGGCTACCACCTTTTCAACCTGCATCACTTAATAAAAAATGAGGGATGGATTGTTCCAAGAGTGACGAAATATACTGTGCTCCGATTTATAGAGAAAAAAAACAACTCTGTATGCTATTCCCTACCATGTTCCAAACAGATATATGTCTATAGTTCCATAGTTTTATCACAATTTAGAGTCCTCGCATTCAACCAAATCTTTCATCCTCAGCAGCATGATCTTCTTCACTTCTTCAATCCCGCACTCTAGCTCTTGATCTCTGTCATTATTCAAGCGCGATTTTATTCCTTTCAAAATTGCATCTTTATTGTTTAAACGAGCGCAAATCACAAATGGAAATCCAAACTTATTACTATAGAGCTGGTTATAATGTTTTAACTCTTGAATCTCCTCTTTTGTTAGCGTTGTGATACCAGCGTGTGTTTGTTCTCTTTGGGATTCTGGGGTAAGTGATTCTAAACGATCGGCAAGATCAGGATGGTTGCGCAATATGCCGGCTCTTCCATCTTTGGGAAGCTCGTCGATAAACTGGTACATCACCTCCACGAAGTTGTCAAATGACCTAAAAGGCCTCCTACCACATACAGCTGCTGCACAAATTTTTGTCTCCTCGATAACATTGCCAAACGTACGGATAAAATCTCTGTAATAAAGCTCGTTCACTGCAGAAATGTTCAGTTTGGAAGCCATATTGAATTTATCCCAAACGTGATCTTACATAAAGCAATTAATCTAATTAGCTTTGTCGCTGGTTTCAATATCAGAAGGCTCAATTTCGGAGAAAAACACAGTTTACAACAATTTTCCCCGCTATGGCGGTTCACGCACATTTTACCGTGGCGGATTTTGTTGTATTTTCTCTGACGTTGCTGGCATCTATGGGTATTGGAATATTCTATTCTAGGGCGGGTGGAGCACAGCAGAATAACAACGAATATCTCATGGCTGGGCGAAGTATGGCTAGTATTCCGGTTGCCATCTCCGTCCTTGCTTCCTTTGTTTCGTCAATCGCGATCCTAGGAAATCCAGCCGAAGTTTACACGTATGGCTTTCAGTACTGGATCAATTCCTTCACGAACTTTATTTCTGTTCCAATCATGGCGTTGGTTTTCTTACCTGTGTATTATAACCTTCGTTTGACTAGTAGTTACGAGGTAGGTTGTCATACATGAATTAATGAATCCCGTTGCATAATTAGCACCGATCGCTTAGTACCAAATTTCCGGTTTATCTCGATTGAAATGCGCGAAATGTAGTATTCAAATGTGCAAGTTAAAATGTATTGGAGTAATCGCACAGTTATGATACAAATACCACGAACATTTGAACAAACAGAGTTTTCATCGTTTTTCATTGTGAACAAATGTTTACTTGGTGTAATCATCTGTCATGAGCAAGTAACATTCGCGTTCTTTTCTCTCGTACACATTTTTTTTTATCATTGAATGGAATCGAAAAAGTGAAATGACTTAACATCAATTCAGTCTTAAATTAATTTAACATGGTTAACCTTTTCTCGTGTGAAGTTCTATGCCGGTGTGTATGTTCCGGGGTAGCTCGGTTTGAAAAGTTTAAATATATTTTTTTCTATCTCCCCCTTTTTATGCAGCCCGTCGCTGACTAATGGCACTGATTCGCACGAACCAGTGAATCCTAAGAAAGGATTATTTACAGTTTAATTCAACTGTTCGAAAACTTCAAATTATACCCACTATGAACAAGTCAAATAGCAAAACTTTACGATTTGTGAGTGTGTGTGTGTAACTCTTGGAAGAAATTGGACAAAAGAACATTTAATTTATGAATCGTACTCATTTAACGTTACGTAATCTTTTTTTTTTTTCAATTTATTTCGTCGTATTGTAGGTTTTTTTCATACGTAACGTCTTTTGTTTTGTACGATAATTTGTAGGTTTGTTTTCGTTTCGTTTGTCATATAATTGTAAAAAAAATTCATTTTTGTGTAATTCGTTCAGGGTTATTCGAAATCGTGTTCGAATTTATACGAGGTCGTTCAAGATTAGTTCGCTCGAGATCAGTCATTTTTTGCTCAATTTAATTTGTTAATCGTACTTAGTTTGAGTCAATAATAAAATGTTCAACTAGTGAACAGAAATCCCTTTAGTTAATTTCCAGTACGATTATTGTTACTGTCGCACTTACAGAAAAGCAGCCTGATCCAATGACAGGAAATGAGTTTAGAATTCCTTATAGTTAATTTTGTGACCTTAGTAACGTGATTGGCACTAAATTTGGATTTATAACTTTATAAATTTTAGTATTTGAATTAGTTCTTCCCCACCTTCATTTTAAGCCTTCCATAAAATCTCCACTCTCCATTTGATTGACAATTGTTTCTTACATCAGTGTACATTCATTGGGATAAGAAGTACCCCAGAAGTTTGTGCAGCAGGAAAGATGCTTCAGGGTTGCTTGAGGTACAGCCTACAGCATCTCTAGCTTCTTGAACACCCTCCAAACTTTCCAAGTGCATCATATCTTGATGAATGCACAACTGATGTATGAACCAATTGTTTTATAACTTTGTCAGTGCAGTTGTTTGAATATTGTTCTCTTATAAATTAAAACATTTTAGAAAAACAGTGCACACTAAATCTGAAATAAATCATCTTTTAGCCAAAAAAACTGTAATGATATAATTTAAAACTTGTTTATAAATAACTTATACCCAAAGTAAAATTAATTACAACATTAGTCAAAATATACTCAGACATCAAGATCTGTTTGATAGTGTGGCACAAGCAGTCATTTACAAAATGAAATTTAGATATAACTGACTTCATTCTCGTGGGACTGAGTGCTTTGTAAAAACATTTTCTTTCAGTATCTAGAAAGAAGATTCTCCTTTAGTGTGAGGATGTTAGGATCTGTAGTGTTTGTTATACAAACGGTAAGTGAATATTAATTTCTAGTTAGCATTTACTGGATCCATTTTTCTCTCTGTTCAAGCTTAGCTAGCTATTAAATAAGTTATGGTATTAGTAATGTCAAATCAAAGATTAAATAGGAAAAATATTTATTGTGTTGTCTCAAGTGCAGGACAAAGAAAGTCTGAGTCCTCATAAGGAATCAACCTCAGACCTTTAGGTTCTTCTCTGTAACCCTTTCACCCTCATGAGTGATCAAGACAGAGCATCTCCTTACATTATCAGTACCATACCAAGCAGACAAGCAACAAGAGCAAATAAATATATCAATGAGGGGATACTTGATCCAATACTAAATTCTCCAAATTGGCATTTTAAGAATTGTATGGCAGACAGTAGGGAGAATTGCTGAGGTGATCTTGGGAGTGACAGGGTCAATGCTTGAGCAGTGAGCCACAGAGAACTCCTCAGAGAGTAAATGTGTCATTGTTAGGAGGCACAAGTCTTGTATACTGAAAGGATGAGCAATGTGGAAAGTGTCATGTGAATTTAAATTATAATATCATTTCTTTAGTGTATACATCACTGTGCATAATAATTAGTTTGTGAAATCTGTATCACAGTTGTTATAATTTCTCATTTAAAATGTTGCAACCAGTGTTGGTTCCTTATGAAAGATTTTGTCGTAGGACCCCACAAACACAAACTTAAGTTAACTTGTGCATCCCACATGCTTGTATTAAAGGCCATTTCATTCATTTGTCATCACCCATGTCATGCTATTTTTCTTTCATTATTGTTGGTCAAATGAGCGCAGTTCTCTAAATTATGAATCTCATTTCAAAATTTTTTTTTTCAGGTTTTGTATACTGCTATTGTATTATATGGACCATCACTGACCTTAGAATCAGGTAAAAAAGTATTTGGTATACCAACTGAAAATATTTATATGTGTAGAAAATAGAGTGGTTTATTTCAGATAAATACTGTTGTAATTCACTGATCATCCAGTTAATATTTGTTGTATTTTGTATTATTAAGTGACAGGTTTCCCACTGTGGCTTTCAACGGTTGTAACTGGTCTTGTCTGCACTTTCTACACCACTGTAGTAAGTCCTTTTTTAATTATTAGGTTTTGTTTGTGAAGAATCATTTTATTGCTGGGAACATTGACAATTAACATAAACAGATCTATGTGTAAGCCTCTTGCAATTCTTTAACTAAGCTTTGAAAAAAAGCATTTCAAAACATCTACTTCTAGCAAAACATTTGATTTAACTCTTAAACTCTCAGAGGTGTGGAGCATGTAACTTTTCCCTAAAATATCCATACATTATCCAGCAAACAGGTAATGAGAATACTCAAAGTTATTATGTAGAAGTTGTTATCTTGATCTAACACCAAATTCTCATCACTCAATCATAAGGAAATGTGTAGCAGCTAGAAGGGAGAATTAACAATTAGATCTTGGGAGTTAACGGGTTAAAAAATCTTGCTGGGACTCAAAAGAGTTGAGAATTGCAGTTAATTACACTCAAGGGACACCATGTATGGTCTCAAAAGTGTGCAGTTACTAAATATACACATACAAGAAACTTACTTTTATATGGTGTATCAAGACCCATTAGGAACACATCAAGTCCAGCAGAGACACTTTGGTGGTAATCCAAACAAGCATGATAGTAACATTGGTGGTAATCCAAACAAACATGATAGTATTTAATAAATTTTTTTTCATGGTTTCATACAGATTGTGTCTATTTGTTCAAAAACCAGCTGAAATTTAAAAATACGAAAGACAACCTTTTTTTTGTTGCATCTTGTTTAGACTACCAGTCAATTTGCTACCATTACTATCACAGCCTACAGTTGTAATAAAAGCATGAGGGATCACACATTGTGTACACCGCATGTCACAAGATCCTTGTATAAAGGGCTTGCACTAATGATGTTGTAATGTTTATTACTGTCACTGTCCCTAGGGTGGCATGAAAGCTGTAATATGGACAGATGTGTTTCAAGGCATAGTCATGTTAGTTGGGCTAACAACAATTATTACAGTAGGAACAATAAAGGTTGGAAGTCTGAGTAAAGTTTTTGATATCGCTTACAAGGGGCACAGACTTGAGTTTGAGTAAGTTTGTTGAAAAAAATCATGATTATTATCACTATTACAGTACTATCAATTTCACTGATCTTGTAATAACAAAGCAAAGAGAAATAATGGTTTCAGTACAACTAAAAATCATTTCTCTTTACAGTTTTTCCATAGATCCTACACACAGAACCACATTGTGGGTTTTTCTAATAGGTGGTGTATTCCAAATGCTACCTGTCTATGCAACCAACCAGACAGCTGTCCAAAGATTTCTGACCTCAAAGTCCTTTAAGTCTGCTCAGAGGTATATACCGGTAACATTCTGATAGTTATTTTCAATAGTAGAAGTAAAGAAATGATCTTGACAGGCAAACTACAATTCCCTTAAGTTACAACAAAAACAAATTACTGAAATTTTTCTTTTTCCTATAATGGTGTTAGTTTTATTGCAGTGCACATTTAAGGTTCATTTTAGTACATGTGCAATATTCTCAAGTCCAAATGAGATTTATTACAGCTTTCTCAGGAAAATCCTGTTTTTATATTTTTAACCATGGACACACTAAACTAATCTTGCAACCATAAAACTAGTATTGTCCAAAATGACCTTGTCAGTTTATACAATATTCCAAACATGATTTATTTCTTTTACTTGTGAACAGTTATTTTCTTTTTAAGAATCATCTGATCGAACTTTATATTATGTATTAAGTAGATTGCCAACACATAACAGATAAAGAATTATTTATAGAAGATAATTTGTTCATATCTTTCCATAGGGCTGTTTGGTTGAATCTTCCTCTGAACATATTCAGCACAACAATAACAGTCCTAACAGGATTGGTGATTTATGCATACTTTGCCTCCTGTGATCCTCGTAGTATTGGGGAAATATCCAAAGATGACGAGGTAAATAACTAGTGGCTCTTAATTATTGATCTGCAAAAAAAAAGTGATTGGCTTGCAAACAGAATATTCTGACTTTGGAGTGTGGACAGAATAAATGAATAAGCCCTTAATATTTATTTTAAGGGAATTCTCCTTTTCAGCACCTCAGGAAATTTATAGAGAACAGTATGGAGAATGTGCATACAGATGTTACAATGTAAAGGGTTTAACATATCTTTTGATCTTTTGCACTGTCTTCTCTAGATTTTGCCATATTTTGTGGTTGAAGTTCTGGGAAAGTTCCACGGTATTCCTGGAGTCTTTGTTGCCTCACTGTTCTGTGGGACTCTCAGGTATTATTCAGTACTTACCCTGCATTAGATGAAATGTTTACAGTTTTGTGTTCCTTTAATAATAAAAGACAGAGATAGGGTCATGTCTGATTTCAGTACATCCAAGAGGTATCTACTTCTATTCATACCCACACCAAGAAATTTTATTGGAAAATGAAAAAGGGAAGGCATGAGAACATAATTTTTCAATAAAATTTAGTGTTATCTATTTCCAGCAAAGTTAGGAGATTGAGATATTTGTGCATATCTGGCCAAGAATTTGTTAAACAGCACAATCCAGCATAATTTTTTTTTTTCAGCACTGTAGCATCTGGTCTTAATGCTCTGGCAGCAGTAACAGTGGAGGACTTTGCTCCCTTGGTTGTTCAGCATATTCCAACTGAGAGAGAAACTCTTGTGTCCAAACTGCTCGGTAACAATTTTCATTGTTTAGTTTTTTATTTTATTTTTTTTTTTTTTTCATAATGATTAAAAATTTCCACAAACTTTGGAGAAAATGCAAAACAAATAATTCAGTTTTATAAGATTGGATGAAAAAAGTATAACAACAATTCAACAGTGACAGATCAAGATGGCATAAAGTTGGATGAGGATGAAGAACATTTTTTTGGACCATTTTTAATTTAAGTTCAATCCTTTCATGCTCAAGTTGCAATAAGTAATTCTCCTTACTGTCTGCTATAGAATTGTTATGATGTTAGTTAAGAGAGTTTGGTATTGGATCAAGTGATGATGCCATGACTGATGTTTTTCTTCATTCTCATCACTTGTCTGTTTGATATCACATTGATATTGTGAGGAGATGTTATGTCTTGGTCACTCATGGAAGTTTAAGAGTTGTGGATAAATCCACAAAAATTAAGCCATAATGCACAAATCTTGTTTCTGTGCAATCAGAGGGCAATACTAAATATGAGTTATTACTTTTCTGTTTCTTTTAATTTATAGTATTCGTATATGGCCTCATTTCACTTGGGCTGGCATTTCTGGTTTCAAAATTGGGAATGATATTACAGGTCAGTGTTGTTTACAAACATGTGTAACAAATGTTCATCAAAAAAAATGTTCATTTGATGGTTCACACTATAAATAGATTATTTCAATTTCCACTCTCACAAATCTGGTGCTTTGTCTTCTCCAAGTAAGGTAGCATTATTTTCTAAAGATGCTAAGTTATGCCAAGTTGTGATTGCTTGAAAATATGTAGGTGACACACCTTAGTCCAATTCTGACAGATAAAAAGAACATAGAAGTGGCATTCAAACCTTTGACAATGTTGCATGTTTAACTTATTTCTTATCAGTGACCATAAGACAATTATTGTCCTCCTAATGTGCTTACCAAAATCAATATCAAGTTATTGATTTTTACAGATGAGCGCAACAATGTTTGGAACCACAGGTGGGCCAATGTTGGCCCTATTTTCTCTTGGTATATTGACGACCCATGCCAATGCCAAGGTAATGCTCCATGCTCCATGCTCCCTGCTCCCTGCCCCCTGCTCCCTGCTCCCTGCTCCCTGCTCCCTGCTCCCTGCTCCCTGCTCCCTGCTCTGTTCATGTAAGGTGTTTACAGCAACACATCCCAGCTAAGCAAGTCTTGTGGCACACATTTTTCTAACCTCACTCCCCCAAAGACTTTAAAAATTAATCCATTAATTTATGATTTACTTTGCATTACAAGATTTTGCAGAACTCCCAATCTAAAATGGTACCAACCAGTTGAGAAGTTCTTTGCTTTGATTAAATACAAAGATATCTGACCTCACAATTCCACTAAGTTTATCTTTTGTACATTTACTTGAAATGAACTCTTTCCACCCCAACATCAGTCTGTATATTCTCCATGTTATTCTCTAAACAGTTGCTTTGGTACTGACAAGGAGAATTTTTTTAACGATCAAAAGCTTCTTCTGTTGGTGATCATTTTCCTTAGTCTTGTAACCTTAATGTTTGACTCAGTAGTGATTTTGTAGAAAGAAATTAGATGCCAGTCACCCCTTGGGGATAAAGGGTAAAGATTTGATGTTGTTGTTGTTACATTTAGGGTGTATGGATCGGAGTAGTGGCTGGATTTTGGACAGTCACCTGGATTAGCATAGGAGCTCTGGTTCACCCACCTGAGTACCCTACTCAGCCTATGTCTATATCTGGCTGTCCAAGCAATTTCACTAATGTTAATATGTCATATGTAGAACCAGCCCAAAGGTAACTTATGAACAAAAGTGAACTTCAATGTTATGTTACCATTTAGAACAAATTGTTGGTATTGCATTCATTGTAATGGTCTTGGAAAAATAACTTGTAGAAGATGGTACATGATTTCTATAATGATATAGTGACTGTAATGGAACCTCGAGAAGGAGAGCAAGCATATTTTTTTGCTGCTAGCCAAATTCCTCCTTTATTTTCCACATCACATCATAATTAACAACTGTGTAACAAAGTGGAGGTGACTAGTGGTGTATATTTCCGAGCTACAAAACTGTGAGGTAAATATCCACTGCTAGCCACAGACACTGAGGTGAAGAGTTGTTTTAGTTTATATGAAAACAGTGAGATAACATAGCACAAAAATATGATTTTAACTCATTTATTACTGCAATGGTTGAATATTTTCATGCAAAAATCACACATGCATTGCTCGTAGGTGAATAGAAAAGATAATCATAGTTTGAATAGCCCATCAGAGCTTGTCTTCCATGCCATCCACTGTTTTAGTACACACTTACTGTGACTGACTTTTTCTTTTCAGGATACAACCTAGTTCTGTGTACGAGATTTCATTCTTTTGGTATGGTGTCATAGGATTTGTTATCACATACGTCATTGGATACCTTGCCAGTTATATATTTAGTGAGTGACTGTGGGAGATTGTGCCTGCTAAAACTGAAAAGTCAACAAAATTATATAATGATCTTTTTTTAAAATAGAGGATCCTAGCTTCCATAAAATCTTTTGGCTCTCACTTTTATTTTCCAATTTAATTATTATTTGTATTTTAATTTTTTTTCTGGAGTTACTTGTCAAAATGGCTGTAGATAGATCTGTCTGGTGAAGAGTGTCTTTACTATAACTTTGACTGCTTAACCCTTTACATGTATCTTCTCCCCATAATATCCATACTTAATCCTGCAAACAGATCATGAGAATACTCCAACGTATCAGGTAGAAGTTGTTATCTTGATCAACAACAAAGTTTTCTTTACTGATTTACAACAAAATGTGTAGCATCTAGAGGGGAGAATGAAGAATCTGATCTTGAGAGTTTAAGGGCTTCATTTTGATTAAGATTTTCTGAGGTTTGTACGTACCTGTATCTCATCATCCTGTCCTCCTCCCTTCCTTTCATGTAAGTTTGTTTTTATTTTTCTGTTTTTTATCTCTATCTTTCTTCCAACTTTCTTTAATTTTTGGTGCACTCATCCCTTACCAAGCTATGTTACTTTTCAATTGTAGAAAAACATGACGCTGAAAGAATAGACCCAGCCTTGTTGTTTGACTATTCCAAGCTCTCAAACTGCTTTGGAAGATGCACTAAAACATCTGGAAACATGGCTCTTAATGGTGCTCATTCCATAGAGGTAATTAATATAACAATAATTTGTTTTTTGTTTGCCCTCAGGAGGTTTTATTTTTTGGTTACTGCGTATACAGTTTCTGTAGTAAATGACTATAAATATATGAAAATCACATGTTTGAACTGCTGACAAAGAAACAAATATAATTTGAGAGATCTTCACAGTAATGAACACTACTTAAGCAGAAGTCTTTGTCAGTACTGTAAATACATTTTTACAACTTTTTCAAAAGGGAATGCTAAATTAAAATTGTAGTAATTTATTTACCTTTCTTCATAATTTGAATCTTAAAACTGCCTTGCTGTATGGACTTGTTCTCCTTTTATAAATCTGCTTATAACCAAGAAGAGGCTCAAATTTCAGGATAGGAAGTCATATTTCATTGAAAGGTCCCACACACAAGGCAACATTCTGTATGGACAAGCTGCAACAACAGCTTTCTTCATGTTGCAGTAGTTTTTTGTTTTGGCAACATTTTCCCCCTCAATACTTTCCACAAATTGCTTATTGTTTGAATTGCATTGTGCAATGGTAGCAGCAATGCAATAAGTGACACTAGAATTTTTGTGACAGCAGTACATGCAAAGCACCTTTTCACAAAGCTGTCACAGCAGGCAGATTCTCATGGAAGGTGGCTGACAACTGATTCTTTAAGGAGCTATTATTTCAACTGTTGAGTGGTTATTTCTGTTTTACTTTCACAGGACAAAAAAGAACATGACACACAGACATCTGACTGACTGTTACTAATATTATATACTGACCAGCCTGAGACTTTTCTGTGTTACAGTTCAACAAATAAAATGAATGAGCCTAATTTTTTTTCTGATTTAAAACTATTACTGAGCACTTAAATATCTCATCAAAATATATGCTGGAAACCAATCAAAACTATACCATTAGTTAAATAGTACTTGCTCCTCATAGGCTTTAAAATGACATGTTTATCTCTGGAGTTCCAGTATGTAGTGTGAGTCCTGTAGCTGTACAGCTTTCTTATAAGCATATTTTACCCTAATTGTGGGATCTTACCACAGCGCAACACTGTAGCAGCTCTACTTGGCAACAACCACTTGCCCCATAAGTCTGTTGTTCTAGAAAAAAGTCATTGTTTGTATGTGTGAAAATTCGGATTTACCTCCCTGGTATGCCAGTTATCTCCTTAATTACATGTATTTACAAGTTTCTTTATTATTTTTATTAATATTCCTGAATTAATGCATAGTTATTCATGTTAAAATGATCAGGAGGAAGTCAATTGGAATAACAATTAAAATAGCTTTAGGGTCAAAATTATGGTATTGTAAATGTCTTCATCGTACAACTTTATAAAATAATTCAAATAGTACACATGCTCTGATTGGCCATAAAACCATTTTACATGAGTGTATGTCAACACGGTTTTCGTTCCTCTTTCATTAGTTATTTTATAAAAGAAATGTAAAATGGTTTCTGTGTTTACATAGCCTGATGTAAACACTTGGGAGGTTGGGAGAACACTCAATAAGCTGGAAACCACTCCACTTCGCATCCTGGTTTCCTACACTTATCTCGTGTTCTCCCAACCTCCCGCATGTTTACATCAGGCTATGTAAACATGGAAACCATTTTACATTTCTTCAGTATAGTAGAGCATCTCTAACTCTTCCAAATGTAGAGAAACTAAAACTACATGGCATTCAACATTGTGTCTTGATCACCTTATTTTTTATGTGTCAATTTAACAATTACATTATCAATTTTCCTATACTTTAACAGCATCTCATTGCTCTTCAAGACCTGCAAAATCAGGTCAGTGCAAAGCCTAGGTAAATTAATTTTACAAACCTACTACTAACCTTGGCATATAATAACTTTTTATGAATGTGTAAGATAAAGTATCTCCAGTTAATAATGAACTCTTTACACCCTAACATCAGTAAGCAAGTTCTCCTTACCACTCTCTTTACTTTTCCTATTGTGCTTAAAACGAGAATTTGTCTAACAATCAAGAGCTTTTTGAGTTTATGATAATTTTCTTTATTCTCATGACCTTAATGTATGATTCAGGGATGATACTGTTGGGAGAAATTAAATGCTTATCTTTGGGAATGAAAAGGTTAATTTTAATTAGAGACAAGTGAACAGTACTTTGACAAACTGTGTCCAGAGCTACACATAGATTGCACTACGTTATGTTTACAGTCCAAAACTGTCCACATTTTATTTCAATTTTTATGCAATTTTATATTGCAGGATGATGAGAATACCCCTTTTATTAGCAGAAGTGGCACACAAGAGCACACCTTTCAACACTCTTGAACATGGGGCATATGAAAGAATTGAAAACAAGAGCTGTCTCATAGAGTCACATTGCATCACTTTCCTACAAGCAATTTATAAAATTACTCATGAAGATTACTTACATAGTATTATAATTATATTACTTCATCGTATTCACCATTAATAATAATTATACTGTGATAATTGCTATTTAGAGTAAATTAACTACTTTTCCAATTCTTGTAATTTATTTTGAAAGGAATGGTTTCTAACTTTACTAATAATTTGTAAAATTACCGTTTAAGAGTATTTACTTAGTATTCCATTGTTCCTTATCGTATTTACTATTAATAGTAATCATATTATGATAGCTATTCTTCCAATTCTTGTGATGTATTTCAAAGGGAAAGGTTTCTAACGTGATTACAAAGTTAACAAAATTATGAATGATTGATGAAAGAGATTCCTTTATTCAAGCATGCATTGGTACTTACCTCTGTTCCTATGTACATAAGAAAAATTTATTATTGACATGAAAGCATACATGCATTCATTTGCTTGTATTTATAGAAAAATTGATATAGTTTTTTACATTCAAAGCTTTATCTATATATGTTCTTGTACCTTGGGTACTTAATGTATTTTAGGACTCCTTTTCACTTCAACTCTTGCTTTGTAAATGGTGCTAGTGTTTGTTGTTAATTCCATTGCCTGAATAATGGTTATTACTGTAGAGTTGGCTCTAGAAGCTAGAGTTACTCCTATGCTTCCCTCAAGCTCCCCAAACTTTCCACATGCATCCACACCTCGATATACATATATTTTATTGTCAGTTTTCTTATTTAACACTCAGCTTAGTTAGGCTTTTGGTTTTTTTGTCTTTTTTGTCTTTTTTTTTGTCACTTGGGTTAGCCTTTTTTGGTGGACATTCTGAGGGATACTGTTATGGCCCCCCACACTTTCCACTGTGCATAATGCATGACAACCCTTGAGATTGGGAAGGAGGCTAAATCTAGATAGGGAAAGATTTTCTAGTGTTGCCATGAAGTCCCAGGTATCAGAAGTCTTGTATTTCAAATACATTTAACAATACAAGCAACATGATTATTTTTCCACACATTGCCACATTCAATGAACCATTGAACAACAATATTCACTATATTTGTCGCATACAAAGTACTTAGCAAGAAAGATAGTGCAAGGGTGGGAGGGGAAATTCCTCTTTAAATTATTCAAGCAAAGACATAATTGAACTGATATATTTGTCACTGACATTAAAAACATTGTTGACATTTGTAAACATAGTTTTATTTCATTTTCACCATGACAGACAATTCCTCCACAAATGATCAGCTTCTCCTACACAACTGCATTTCTCATTAAACCCTTCAGCTTCCCAAAGTGATTCTCTGAACTTCTCATTGTGCTCCCATGACATTATCTTGCAAACCAGTTATGAGAACAGACAAGCTTATCAGCTAAAGAGTGTTATATTGATATGAAATGGAATGTTTTGTTTCATTTGCAAGGAAATATATTGCAGTCAATCAGGAAAATTAGTTCTTGGATCTTGAGAGTTTGAGGGTTAAATATTGTTTTTATTGAAATAAACTAGCCAGTGTATGAAAAACTTTTCCACTACTCCCTACATTTGAGTGACTTTGCAGCAACTTGTTCACAGCAAAATAAACTTCACAGGTTACTACACAGCATGTACTAAGTTATACTTGTATAAAGAAAAGGGCATTTATAAAGTAGAAAGAGAATTCAATGAAGACCAAGTTTGTATTCCATTGTGAGATGAGGATCTGACATGACCTCAGAATCACCTTGAACTGGAAATAAACAAACACAAAACACAGTCAAGCATTTACCCTTAGTTAAAAACTTTGCATTTCGACATGTGAGTTCTAAGGTAAAGCCAAGTCTACACACTAGACCTTTCCTGAGTAAAATGTACTTCAACTCTCTGCCACCAAAAAAAAAAACACTTTCCAAAACTCCAATTTTTCAAACTGCTCAATCTCAAAGACAAGTCTGTGTGTTAACTTGCTTTGTCAGTAATTTCTTGTCACCTGTCTCTGCCTGCACTTTTATGTGTATTAAAAATTATTGCTGCAAGAATTTACAATATAGTACCATTCAGCAGCTAACTGCGAGGCAACACTAATTTAAAGATTCAACATGTCATATACTGTAGGGGTTCAAAATTCCTTAACAAGAGGTGAAAGAGAACTTTGTATCTCACCATTTAAGAAATCATCAAATCCAATACTTTCATCCGTACCCAAAAGAGAGTCTAATGCAACCATTGAGCTAGGCAGGCAAGGCAATCGCTGGATCTGTGTTGACAAGAGTATAAGTGATACAATGAGAATCAGGTGACACCATTCTCAACAGTGAACAAGATTATTAAATCACTACCATGTCACTGCAAAATCTATTGTGTTTGTCACTAGATTCACACGAAAAGTTATAATAGAGGTAATGTCCTTTGTGAATCAACAACTAGACAAGCAAATAATCAAAATGTTTCTTTGATACCTTCGATGCAACAGCTCTTTCCATCTGTAGTTTAAGTGGGGCCTGCAGACCTTGTGTATTTCTCAGCATCTTAAAGTCAAGCAATTCTTGATTTTGAAGAAACTAGTCAAAATAAAAACACGACACTCATTTTACCACATTATGCAGTTTTCAAAATACATCAAAAGAACAAAAAGCTTCAAGTATGTCTAAGTTCATGGAAATGTGGAGGATTAACCATGCTAGTATTAAAACAACTTACAGTGTACAATGTACATTACTAATACAGTGCTATTTTCAGCCTTAACGAAGTACTTGGTTGATAATAACATACATGAAAAAATTACTCAGTTCTGATTGGTTAAGATAAATGCAGTTTTCAGGTAATTCAATGCAGAAGGGGGTTAATTCAGTGCAAAGAAGTAACAAACCAGACTGACAATTCCTTGAACTGTTTAGCCGGACTTTGAACTTTTTTGCGCCTTAAGGATGTGGAAATATCACTGTATATTATTGTTTTGATCATATTCGGTTGTTTTGACCAAACACACAATGTCACTTGCAGTGTTTGAATAGATTATTTTTGCACTTGATGCACGCACTTCACTTCTGCATAATTATGATGAGCTATCTAAAATTTTTTCATGTATATTATTAATACATAATCACATGATTTTTCTCACACAATTTAGAATAAATAAGTACTTGTTACTGTTTTCAAAGACCACAAATTGCACTTGCCCTTCAGGCTGGTGCAATTTTATTAGTCTGGGAAAAATTTACCCATGCTTATTTATTCCAAATTGGACTCAAAATCATGTGATTACCTATACTAATTGAAGTGACGATGGAAGGCTTGAGCAATCTCAACATGTCTACACATTGTGCAGTGCCTCTCCAAAGTTTAGAAGATTAAAGTGTCTGCTCCCAACTTAAGGGGCATACAAAAAAATGGAACTTGTTCCAATCTCCATAGCATGAAGAAACTGGGATTAAAACATAAGGCCAACTCAACCCCTATATAATGAAAGAGTAATTTCCTGTAAATGGCTGACTGGAAATGTTGCAAAAAAACTTTTATTAGATGAGCTGTATAAACTTACTATTTAATCTATTCTGAAAAGTGCACTGAGGTTTAAACTCTACAAACATCTCTAATCATTATGATCATTCAATGGTTTTCTACAAAATCTTCAACTGACTTACATTTTTCTCAGAACTCTCAAGAGGATGGCTTGTGATCAATCCACTCTTAACATTCGAGAACCTTGAAAATACAAAGTATGTAATTAATACATCAGAAATGAAAATTTAAAAAAAAAGATTCTCAAGGAAAGAACTTCTAGAAAATTGACTTAAGGGCTAAATAATGCCCCAATGGTAGGTTTTTGATGAAAATGCCTCTTAAAATTTTGATTCACAGCACACCATCTGAACAGGTCTCTTCAAAGCAAGTTGTGATTCTCCACAACCACAAAACAGACCAAGGTGTCTGTTTAATAAAGGAACTAATTACAGTTAACATTGGACAACAAAATCAATATATAATATGCACTTGCACAGGTTTCACTGAGTTGTTACAAGGTGGTCTGATCTCTCAGAGGTCAATGATTCTTTTCCAGACCCTCTAATGGCTAAACTTTACTACTATAGATTCACCTTTTTTCTTCATTTCAACTTGTTAATGTTGCCTTGAAGATTGTAAAATAAAGATAAGCAGAGAGGTACAAGTACTCATACCCTGTTCTCATTTGATCTGGTACACCATAGCTATTGACCGAGGAACTCACTTCGGTGATGGGTTGGACTTTGCCAGGCAGAGCAGACTAAACAATGGAGAGAGTATGATAAAATAACAGTGAATCCTTCAACTGAAAACAGAGCAGTCATTCTTGGGAGTCAAGCAGGCAGAAAAGCTATTGCCATGAAAACCCATTTTAAGCTGTATGCATCGCATGCAATTTTACCAAAAGTCCACAGACCATGTGTGCTTGATATGTCCTTGAACGCAACAATAAGAGCATCATTCGCTTTTTCATTCGCTCTGACAAAGGGCTAACGCTCGAAACTTCAGCTTTGAAACTCTTTACGGTGGCCAATTTAC